TGGAGCTGAAAGCCATTTTCCTCAGTAAACTAATGCAGGAACAGAAAACCAAACACCACATGTTCTCACTTACAAGTGGGGCCTGAACGTTGAGAACACATGGAAACAGAAAGGGGAACACCTCACACTGGGGCCTGTTAGGGAGTGGGGTGGAGGGAGTGGAGAGCATTAGGAAAAATAGTTAATGCATGCTGGACTTAATACCTAGCTGATGGGTTGACAGGTGCAGCAAACCACCATGGCACATGTTTACCTATGTAACAAATCTGCACATCCTGCATTTGTACATTTGTACCCCAGAACTTAAACATTAAAATTAAAAAAGAATACACCTTTAATATACATTAAGATGGCTATAAGTCTTTGATGAACATACCTGGGAACTCTTGGAAGGAATTTCAGGTAGGCACTAAGTCCCTTTTTGGTGAATGCACATGGAAGAGACTAGAAAATGTACACCCAACTAGCTCAAGGGAAGTAGAGGTTCTGCACTTTTTATTAAGTGTGTTAAATACCGGCCAGGTGAGGTGGCTCACGCCTGTAATGGGAGGTGAGGCAGGCGGATCACCTGAGGTCAGGAGTTCAGCCTGGCCAACATGGCAAAACCCTATCTCTACTAAAAACACAAAAATTGGCTGGGCGTGGTGGTGGGCGCCTGTAATCCCAGCTACTTGGGAGGATGAGGCAGGAGAATGGCTTGAACCCGCTAGGCAGAGGTTGCAGTGACCCAAGATCATGCCATTGCACTCCAGCCTGGGCAACAGAGTGAGACTCCGTCTCAAAAAAAGAGTGTTAAATATCTAATGAATTCTATTATAGTTTTGAGAAGGTACCAGAAGATTCAGAAGATTCACAACTTATATAACAGCACAGCTTAATAAGTGAAAACAGATTGCATATCTTCGGGCCTTATGCTTATCCCTTCCAAGGTGATTGGGGTTAATTTCACAACAGACTTGTTTTAATAAAATAGTACTTTTCCTTTATCAAGGGAAAATAGGACAGGAACTAACAAAGAGCTTACTATGTCAGGCACTATGCTATTTGTTTTATCTATCTCTAATAATCTTCACAGTAACCCTGCATGACAATTTAATTAACTCAATTTTACAGATGAGGAAATTAAGCCTCAGAGAGATGAAATAGCTTCCTCAGTGTCCTATAGTCTGAATTTGAGCCATGATGGTCTGATTCCAAAACCTATGTTTCTAGGTAAAATAGGTTATACTCAGTACATTTTCTCAGCCCCCCTCTTCCACTACACACCACATCACATTTTCTCCTAACATCCTGGCCTCTAATTGGCACTTCTTTCTTCACTTTTGAATAATTTGCCTGAACTCTGGACAACGCATTTTATCCTCTCCTACAGCAGAAGTTTCTAGAACATTCTTTTGCTGAACATTCATAAAGCCATCCCCTTCTTGACTTCTATGATACCATTCTTCCAGTTGTCCCCCTCATCCTTTCTCAGTATTTTTCCTTCTCAATAATATTCCCTAAATTGCCTCCTAACACTTTAAGTGTTAGCATTCCCCAAGGTTTCAACCTCAATCATATTTTTCAGACTGCATATATTTTCCCGAGCAATCCCTTGTAGTTTCATGACTTCATGTGACACTTATGACTTGGTGATCAGGTCACCAAGAATGATATGCACAGTATGATATTTTTAATGCATTTTTATACATACAACATGTAGAGAGATATTAAAAAATAAACTGAAATAATATATACCAAATTCATGGTAGTCCTTGCCTATGAAAAGGAAGCAAAAACAAGACAGGGAGGAGAACAAAAGAGATCTCAACTCTATAAATTGTTTTCATTAAAAAATTTAAAATAAAAAAGGGACACAGATCTGAAGATTTATAAATACTAGAATATGGAGTTGTTCGCCATAATATATTCTGTGGGTTTTGTTTCACTCAAAATTAAAACCAGAAACAACCTAGAATACCAAGTTATAGGGAAAAGTAATTGAACATTTGCATTCCAACACAATGGAACATAATATAGCCTTGAAAAATGCACATGAAGAGAATATAACATAAGAAATAATTGACTTAATTATCCTGATTAGCATAGGATTCAAAATTGCCCATGCAGTAAGGTTATAATTATATTTTAAACAATAAAAACTAGCTGTAATTCTTTTTCACTTTGTTTGTTGGCTGACTTATTCATTTGGTTGTTCTTTTAAATCAATATGTATGCATACAAAAATTACTAAAAACAGAACTGTCAACAGTGGATATGTTTGATTTTATAATATTCTCTTTCTTTGCCTTTTATTTTCCAAATAATATCAACTGAATACATATTGAATGAATATGTATGAATGAATTGAATACATAAAATGAAATGCCTTCACTTTAAATGACTTTGTGTGTGGCAGATACAGCCAACTGTACGCTCACAATCCACTCTTCTCTTCTTCCTGTATATTCAGTAAAGCACTACATTTCCCAGCCTGTCACGCACACAAAGGTGGCCATATGATACAGTTCTAACTCCCAGTGAAATGTCAAGGGGAGCAGCATCTTAGAAAGCTCTTTGAAGGGGAGTAGACCTGACTGGCTTTCACCTTGGCCATTTCTCCTTCACCTACTTCTTTTTTTGAATGATAATGTGAAGCAGCTGAGAAGGTGAAGCAGCCGTCTTTAAACACGAGGACAAAAGCCACTCACAAACAGATGGCAGAGTAGAAACTTAGCGGAAGCCTGGATTCCTGAAGGCATTATACAGCCACTGCACCACCCCTGGACTGCAAACCTCATACTTTCTGTCACATGAGGAAAAAAAAGAAAAGAAAAAAAAAAAAACTTTACTGGTTTAAACCTTTCTCTTATATTCTGCCAAATGCAACCTTTAATTGATAAATCATGCTAAAATAAAATTTTAACAAATTACCCCACTGAAAGACACTTAGAAGATAATATAATCTATCTTAACCTTCAGAGGAGAAAAGTGAACCTCAAGAAAAAAAAGATTGGAGGCATCAACCTAATATCAGAACAAAGACTAAAGCTTCACTCTCACGTATGTGAATAATTTTTTCCAAAATATTAAAATCACACTGAACTTTACATTTCAAAATGGCTGAAACAGGCAGGGTGTGGTGACTCATACCCGTAATTTTGGGAGGTGAGGCAGGTGGATTACTTGAGCTCAGGAGCTTGAGACCAGCCTGGGACATATGGTGAAACCTCATCTCTACTAAAAATACAATAATTAGCCAGGCATGGAGGCATGAACCTGTAGTCTCAGCTACTCAGGAGCCTGAGGTGAGAGGAATGCTTGAGCTCAGCAGGCAAAGGCTGTAGTGAGCTGAGATTGAACCACTATACTCCAGCCTAGGTGACAAAGTGAGACCCTCCCTCAAAAAAAAAATGCTGAATGGTAAATTTTACATTATGTATATTTACCACAATAAAAAAGAGATAAAATTATATTAAAATAAAGTCCACTTTAATGATATAGTTTGAAGATAATATTTTACATATTTTTGTCAAATGACATTTAAAATATTACACATATACTAGTCAACAACGAGTGCCCATCCTTTTGCTACCCATAAGCAAATCTGCAGTTTGAAGTTACTCAAAATTAGTATTCAAACTAACACATCAATTTCATAAGTATGTCTGTACAGATTACTCCTAAACACTAAACAATCCACAACAAGGATAAAGAATCGGGAAATTTACAGATGGTGTTTGAATTCATACCCTATCCCACAAACACAACTAATTTAAGCCCTTTTGCCTAATTGTCAATTTAACAGGAAGCCAAAAATAGGTCTGCATTACACAATTATATGTCTAAATTTCACAAATATTATTCTTTATATCAAAGAATAAGACTTAGTATATCTTTTGTCCTTAGCTAAGAGGGTCTCTTCACTGGATATAGGATTGTTGGATCCCAGTGCTTTTTGTTTAGCATTTGGACACTTCTATCGCTGACTCCTTGGCTAGATTTCTAATGTCTGCCGCTCAGACATACCCCTCTTGGATTCATGAGTACCAAACACTCATGAAAGCACCTGTCCAGAGAATAGAGAGGATCAGTACTATTTATACTGAACTTTCATTCTCTTTCCTTTCTGCTTAGCCTGTGGTCTCACTTTTCCTTGTGTTAATATTTCTTCAGTCCTTTACTGTGCAGAAATATAATTCTCTGTCTCTGGATCTAAATTATGAAACCTCTTAGAGAACCATATTTTCTTCAGAAATAACACAAATATGTCAAGGAAAATAAATGTAGTTTTGCCAACATGAATATGTTCCAGAGTCTCAGGTAGTAGAAAACCAATTAAATGCTCCTTAGATATGCCCTAAGGTATTTTATCAAGTCATACCAGCACTTGTTGCTACTCTCCACGAAGGTGGTGATACCCACTCTCGTGAGCTAGGACTGAGCCTCAGTTATCAAGAAGCAGGTAGCTACAATATTTTATATCCAGTAGGTACTAATAAAATTCTACCTGCAATTAAGAAAAGGCACTAAGCTTAACACAGCTCTAGCAATGATTTCTAAATGCCACAAGAGGGCGATATAACTCTATGACAGCACACGGGAAAACATACAATTTTTCGAATTAAAAAAGAAAAATTCCTGACTTTCTAAGATACGGAAATAAAGGCATGTCTGGGTTGAAAATAACAAGTGTGCAAAAACACTTATTTCTCCTTGATCCATGATTAGCAAAAACACAGTATTTGTCTATATCTTTCTCTCTAGAGGTTGGCAGTGATTCAAAACGCAATATCCACACATGCTCTGCTCTTCAGGAGGCCTGTGAATATAGCTGGCAACTTAGTGCTCCACCTATAGCTACTTGAAAATTATTTGTTGTTACTTCAAACAGGTCCCCTGAAAAAACTAGTTTATTTGGACCTTGCCCTAGTCTTCAAACCTCTGTTTGAAATACGTCTGAAAAAAATAGACATAATTTCCTTCAATTATTCTTTGTGTTTAATCATATTTCTACTCACCACTGGCATTCGTTCATAGACACGAATAGAAGATAGTCTATCTACAATAAATCAAATACGAACACTTAATGTTTTATCAGTTTTAACTCAAATTATAAAACGTACATATGATTGGTTTTGCACCTGAAGAGTTTCCACGGATTTTTTCCATCTTCTCCTTGAGATAAACAATTTGCTTTTCTAGTTGATCATTTAATTCAAGTTGTGTCTCATAACGGGTTTTCCATTCACTACCTGTGTAAAAACGGGGAAACAATCAAGATAACCCCAACACCTCTCATTTATTCATTAAAATAACATGAAGAGCTTGATCTTACTCTATTACTACATTTTACTTTATTGGCAATACAGATCAACTAGAAGGAAATAATCATTAAGTCTGTATTTCTGTTAGTAAGATTTTCTAGATTGCAAGAATTAGACCCACACTCAGGCTACCACACAGCCAAACCTTATTACAACTACTACAATTCCTCTTCTTCCCTATTTCCCATCCCCTTTTTTCTTTTACTTCTTGTGCATCCTTACAATAAATTCAATTAGAGGGAATATCAGGACATGTTTCTTTCCTTGGAACTTGAAATACCCATATATATATACAATATTCATATATTTCATATATGATATTTCATATATATATCCATAAATACATATGAATATTTAAAGTTCCAAGGAAACTTGATATATTTATATATTTTATATATACTTATATGTATATAAAATATCCTAAACATTACTAACCTATCCAATGTCATGTTCATTTTTTTCCTTTGAAAGCAATTCTGAAGTCTGCTTAATAACTATCACTTACGTGTCTGCTGTGTGTAAAGCACACAATGCTTTACATACATTAACTAATTTAATCCTCATTTTAGAAATGTAGTTACCTATTTTACAAAGATGAGGAAACCAAGGTTCGAAGATGTCAAATAATATTCTTAAGATGACAGAGCTAATAAATAAGGGAAAAACTGGGTTTTAAATCCAGTTTTATCTGCCTTTGAAATCACATCCTCTTAACTGCTAAGCTGAAGGAACAATGTACATTTAGCTATCTTCTCAGGCATTTTCTCTTAATCTTAAGCATTTTTCTTTCACTAAACCCCTTTAGCTATTAAAGTCAAAGCATTTTTCTTATGTCTGGGGAAAAAGAAGAATACAGCCTAAAATTAAAAGGTCTTTGTTCAGATTCAAAGCCCAAAGCTAACTTTTTCTAGTCTTTAAAGTTAGGCTTTGTAGAGGGCAAAAAGATGGCTTCTTTTTCAACTTTAAATGCTCTTCACATGTCTGAAATAACTGCTGCTACATAACAGTTGGTGGAGCAGTTAAGGAGAAAGAGTATTAGCACATACCACTACCAACCTCCTCAGCCCAGACACAGGTCTCCCTTACACCCTCATCTTTATGCAAATGTGGCCTACCAAAGGGGCTGGAACACCCTCCCATACTGAAACTGAAAGTCATTAACCCAAAAGCTTTGGAAAGGAACAAGAAGAAAGGAGAAGCCCTGAAAGACTAAACATTTACCCAAAAGACACAGTAGAGCCCAGCTGCATGGAATCATCTTTATAACTTGCTACCTCAAGTCTCCCTTTGTCATGGTATCCCCTTTCCTACCATGGGAATGGACACTTCAGACCAAGATAAGAATGGTTACCAAAAAATTAAAAATGCAATTTATTTTTGGCACATCTGAGTACAGTTTATAAATTCTGACACCACTTTATTTTAAAATATTATTGACTTTTAAGTCAATCATCAAATATAGACAAGTCAGCCAGGCATGGTGGCTCACACCTGTAATCCCACCATTTTGGGAGGCTGAGGCCAGCAGATCACTTGAGGTCAGGAGTTCAAGACCAGCCTGGTCAATGTGATGAAACCCCGTCTCTACTAAAGAATACAAAAATTAGCCGGGCGTGGTGGCAGGCGCCCATAATCCCAGCTACTCAGAAGGCTGAGGCAGGAGAATTGCTTGAACCCGGGAGGCGGAGGTTGCAGCGAGCTGAGATCGCGCCACTCACTGCACTCTAGCCTGGGTGACGTAGCGAATCTGCATCTCAAAAAAATAAAAATTTTTTCTCAGAAAAACAAAAATAAAATAAGATAGATAGACAGACCGACCTATTAGTATACAATTGTAACCAAATGCAATCCGGCTGCTCGCCACTTACAGAGTCCAATTAATAAGAGCAAGGTCTGGTGGAAAGTGACTTTATTAACTCCAACATCAACATGGGACAACACAAAAGACCCAACATAGACACCAAAACAAGACACAGAACCTTGTAACCAGCACAACTCCTGCATGCCTCCCATATTAAGTTTCCCTTTGTAAGCCCCCTGCCTTTCCCCTAGAAATTGGACATGGTTATTTTGGATGGGAATCTGGCCACTTGTCCATTATTAGTTTTGGTCAATGAAGTCACTTTCTCTCTATCAGACCTCGCTCTTGTTAATTGCACTATGCAATCAGCACTTATAATTGCTGGTTACAATTTTAGTGTCCCGTATGGTGAGTGCTGTATGCTCCAGGGCCTCAGCCCGCCAGTCTGGTTTCTGTCAGATGGGGCATAGGGCCACCTGTGAATACTAGTTGCTGACGGCTAGCTGACCCATGGCTAGAATATTAAGGGATTTCCAGCAGTTGCCAAGAATCTTTTGTCTTAGGGATCCTCTCTTTTCTTCCTGCTATGGTGTCTGCTACCTTCAATGCTTCACTGGTGCAAAGTGACCTCTGGAGAAGTTGACAAACTTTGGAACTAGGTACATTAGTCAGAGTGTGCCCAACCACCGTCTGCCTCTTTTGGGGTGTCGCTGGGGCTCTGCTTTATTTAGACTTGGCTGCCAGTGACACTATATGAGCATTTTATGCATTGGTTTTGTTTGTATTTGCTGTAACCTTGGGCCTTTGCTCAGTTCTGACTCAGTTGCCTGGGGGCAGCCATTTGAAACTGAAATGAGGGATGTGGGAGTCTACACAGCCCCTTAATCAGGGATTTGTTTGGAGGCACACCACCTGTTTGTCCGTGTGTGAGATCTTTGTGCACCCTGATCTCTCTCTCTCTTTCCTCTTTTTTCCAACTTCATCATCCTGATTATCTCAGAAGCCATCTATAGCCCTACTCTTCTCAGCCAAAACCACCCTTAGCTCCCTCTGACTCGAAACAGTTTACCTTGACTGGTGACTTGAGGAAATGGGAGGGATTCATCCCACACCCTGCAGTTCTGGGGTGCTGAGGCTCTCCCTAAGAGGAGATAAACAAGAGAGGTAGGGGTACTGTGCAGTGGCTGGAAGGCTCATAAGCCTCCCTTCCTTCTTTTTTCTTTCCTCTTCCTGCCCACAAAAACTGACCTCCTTTCTCCTCTCCACTCCTTTCTTTTAATCTTTTCCTGTTCAAACCAGGAAACCAGTACTGAAGAGGAAAAACAACTTTCAACATCCTGGCCCGATTTTGTCATCCTCTTTGGAACTCCAGCTGATTACATATGGTCCATTTTTTTTTTTTTTTTGAGACGGAGTCTCGCTCTGTCGCCCAGGCTGGAGCGCAGTGGCCGGATCTCAGCTCACTGCAAGCTCCGCCTCCCGGGTTCTGGCCATTCTCCTGCCTCAGCCTCCCGAGTAGCTGGGACTACAGGCGCCTGCCACCGCGCCCGGCTAGTTTTTTGTATTTTTTAGTAGAGACTGGGTTTCACCGTGTTAGCCAGGATGGTCTCGATCTGCTGACCTCGTGATCCACCCGTCTCGGCCTCCCAAAGTGCGGGGATTACAGGCTTGAGCCACAGCGCCCGGCCCATATGGTCCATTTTTGTGTACATTTTAAACCGACAGGCAAATTACAATAAGAAAAATTTAGAGCTCAAATAGTTAACCTGAAGCTACAGAGTTAAGTAGAGTCTTCTAAAGCTATCTTCTTCTCTTTTCTGCCTGCTTTAAATCTGCTGTTATTAAGCTGCTGGTGCTAAGACTCATTTATGGTCTAACTAGAACGTAAACACTGGAAAGTCGTTTGAAACTGACAATAAAAAAACAAGGGTAAAAGGGGTTAAAAAAAAATTGCAATAGAGACTGTTTTACCCAAAATTTTGGTTCACAGATTTCCTTGGATTACCCATTAGGGCAAACGAAGTTTGGCCATATGAACAGGTTTCAATTTTGTCAGAAAAAGAGCTTGGAGCCAGCTAACTTTTGTATGTCTGTGAGTTTGTAATGCTGTCTCATGGCTAGAGTTCCAAGGTAAAAGCTATTTGTTATTTCTTTGTGCATGTATGTAAACATGTTTAGATATATTTATGTAATGTTCATGTATTATGTTCTGTGTTATGTCTAGCATGCTATCAGATTGGCTGATAAGTAAACGGTTACTCAAAAATTAAGTCCAAACGCTTTTCAAGTGCATGTGAATCTTTAATAAAACTGGTTTTAAAATTATTGATAAAAATAGAAATGTCTTCAGAATTGTCCACATACGTTTTTACCTAAGTGGTTTTATATTTGTATCAGTGTGTATACTAAGCTGTCAAGGGTTGACATAAAGGTTCTAAGACTTTACACTCAGCCAAAAACAGAATAATCGTTGTGTATTTTTTTTTGACAAATAAGATTAACTTAAGATTGTTAGTTCAATGAAACAGCTAAATCTTCTGAGTCATCAGCAAACACATTAATTTTAAGGTTCTTAAGTGCTCACCATTTACTGTTCAGATTTTAAAAATGGTTAAAAGGGAAATTATTATTATTATTATTATTGTTACTGAGACAGAGTCTTGCTCTGTTGCCCATGCTGGAGTGCAGTGGCACAATCTTGGCTCACTGCAAGCTCCGCCTTCCGGGTTCACACCATTCTCCTGCCTCAGCCTCCCGAGTAGCTGGGACTACAGGCGCCCGCCACCACGCCCGGCTAATTTTTTTGTATGTTTCTTAGTAGAGACGAGGTTTCACCGTGTTAGCCTCCAGGATGGTCTTGAGCTCCTGACCTCATGATCCGCCCACCTGGGCCTCCCAAAGTGTTGGGATTACAGGCGTGAGCCACTGCGCTCAGCCCAGTAATAACTTTAAATAATGATTAGTTTTGTGTAGTATCTCAATTTTCAGAAGTAATCTAGATAAACTATTAAAAAATGGAAAAAGTGAATACATGTAAATGAGATAAATGCTTGTAAGTGGACTTTTTATGTAATTTTAAATCTTAAAATTATTTTGAATTAAATAATAGATGCTCCAATCCAATTGA